CCATTGCACGCAATAGTTGCAAAAAGGTTATTTATCGTCATACCAGAAAATTAAAATTAAAAAAAAAAAAAGAAGAAAAATAATATACAATGAATTAAAAATTCTTATATCAATCGATTTGCATATATGACAAATAATATTATATGATACATTTATTTATTCAATTTATTATAATAATATTTACAGTATATTTAAATTTATTAAAATTAGTTCCAAACTATATAGAATATTATTTTATTATTTTTAAATACATTTATATATATATATATATTCTCATTAGTATAAATAATATGTTCTCATAATTTCGTATATACGTACGTACATATGTATTTATAATAGTTTTGCAATGTTGAGTTTGATGAATAATTGATATCTTGATTTACAGAACAAGGTAAGGAGGCAAAAGGTACGGGGGAGGAGGGGGTAGTAGGTTTAGAGTATATAATTAGTTTGAAATTAGTTTGGAATAGGGAAGACCGTGGAGAAATGCTTGAACGAACACTTTCAAACTTTACGTAAACAACGGTGTGACCGAGATTCACTCGTTTTTACTCTCGTTAGTCTCTATTGGGTTTCTCTCTTTCTCTCTCTCTCTCTCTCTCTTTCTCTCAGTCTCTCTCATTGGTCGCACGTTCTTGACCACATAATTAAGACGAATGAGATTGCCGTAGATCTTGTTAACCATACGAATTGGACGCAAGGGAGAACAAATTGTAAGTCAATTACAATTCGATATCGTTGTTTCGTAGTACTTAAATGTACTTAACCAAAAAAAAAAAAACATTTCTTTTTTATTGGCTGTTCTTTTTTCTTTTTTCATCGTCAGTACCATCATTTTAACAATTTTGTAATTGGTTATATCTAAATGATCGATAATTATTCAATCGATTGATTTTAAACGAAGTTAAATGATTTTATGAGGGATCTCGTTTTGATGAATAATTCAAACCATTAGGATCAAATTGTTCATAAATAAATTCTAAACACATCTTTTATTGTTTATAATACTAAATAGGATTTATACAAATTATCGAGAAATGTGTTTTAGCAGGATCATTGTGGTATAGGAATAGATGGCCGATGGGAATAATGAATTGTCCAGCAAGAGAAGTAATTAAGCTTTTGTTAGTATACGTTGATAATTTATATACCAGACAACATATGTTACAAGATAGGTGGTCGTGGGAATAATATGTTCACAAATATACAGAAAATTATATATATATACAATTATATAAATATATATAATAAAAAATTTTGATTATAAACTATAAACCTTATATTCTTTGTGATCAATATTAAATAAAATTCATAATAAATAAATCGAAATGGAATAGGGGTCCACATTCTCATTTTTTTTTTTTTTTTTTTACTATGTATCTTCAAAGTATATACTAATAATAAATGAGTTAACATCTAGAAAAGTAGAATATTGGAAATAAACATAAATCAAAAGTAGATAGGATGTTTTCTGTCAGCATAACCCCATACTTTATCTCTCTTGTCCTGTCTTCTTTTTATTCGTAGTCGTCGTCATCTCGTTTCGTTTAGAAAAAACTAACACACAAATATACACATTCATACAAACTTGCCGTAACTTTTGCTTTTGCTTTTGTTTTTTTTTTCTGTTTATTTGTTTGTTTGTTTGTTTGTCGAGAAGGAAAGGATTACCGCGCGTATTAACGCGAACGAGTTTGCTAGCGTGAGTCAAAAGAAGAAAGACAAGCCGAAGAAGAAATGGTAGAAGTAGAATGAAGAAGGTAAAGGAGAAAGAGGAGGAGGAAAAATCTTGTCAGATGAGAGAAGAGTAAAGAGTAAAGAGTAGTAAAACGAACGTGAGGAATATCGTTATCCAGAAGCAAGTTCTTTCGAGTGAACGTGACGACGATGACAACTGTCCAGTTATGTGGAACAACTATTCAACTATTTTCTCATTTTCTATCTTTCAAGATAATCTTTCTGCCTTTCATTGGTCACTCATACCTAAGTCAACTATTTATGTTAGTTGCACATTTTCAAGAATATTCCATAGCTAGAGAAATTATCGATTTTTACATAATAACTTATTAAATTTGTTTGATTTTATTCCTACGATTTTTAAGTACATTCAAAGTGACCACCCACGAATGTGGGTCTTCCACATTTCTTTTGGGGTCTTTAATATGTTAAAAGAATATTTCTTGAAGAAAATGATGATCGATCGGTCTGCATGAAAATCCAGGCCAATCTTACTGGTTGGTAAGTTGGTAAGATAGGTAAGATAGGTAAGATAGGTAGACACTAGCTCGTTGAACGGCTAATTAGAAGGAAAGGAAGGAAGGAAGGAAGGAAGGAAAAGTTTTGGAACGTTCGTTGCCTTGGAAAAGTCGATGCAACGACTACGACAACTACGACTACGACGACGACGACGACGTTTTGCTCATCCATTAAAATGCCCAAGAGGAACGCGACGTATAGCAACTTTGGTCGTTAAGCGAACGGCGACGTGCGAGGAGAAGGAAAATCGCACGGGAAATGCCCCTAGCCAACGAATTTTTACTTTCTTCCTCATCTCCCACTCTCTCACTTCCACCCTCACTCTGCTAAACGAGCGCGTAATTAGCCCTTGGATTTAGACGAGTGTCCCTGTGTATTTCGATATACTATGTATTACATATGCTATGTATATATTCTTCTTATCATTACACCCTATATATAAATACACACACATATATTTAAATATTTGTATTAAATACAGTTTAACTTTGCATTTCAACATTAAGAATAATTAACAAGCTACCTGGATTCTTTTTAAGAGATCACTTTTTTTTGTGTGTGTTGCCCATTGGAATTTCACTAAACGCGTTCTTCTTTCTTTTGATCTTAAAAAAGAAAACTACCAAGTCAGGAAGAAGAATCTTTGAACATCGAACAAATAGCGAACAAGCCAAGTTCGTTGCACTCCTCTCTCTCTCTCTCTCTCTCTCCCCACCCTCTTAGACCCCCTTTCTCACCACCAACAAAACCCCCCATCTCATTCGACCCACTTTCCACAATATAATCTTCTTTTTCTACCGAGCAAAAAGTTCTTTTAAAATAACCGCTTAACAATCGGGAACGCAAGTTAAAGAGTCAGCTAGACGCCCCCTTTTTTTTATTTTTATTTTTTTTTTTTTAATATCTAAGGCTTTTGCTTCGATAAACTCTTTCTATCTTGTACTCGTTTCTTTTCTTGTTCTACATTATTTCTCATAAGCTAATATAATTTATCTTATCTTATCTTTAAGTATATACACGTATGTATTAAATACAATTAAATGAAATTGTTCATAGTAAAACATTTTGTTTAAAGTTTAAACATATTTTATATTTCCATCGACAGAAATAATAAATACGGTTTTGTTTCTGCTATTTCTTTTTTATTTTAGATCATCAGAGCAATGTACAAATACTGTATAACCAATATCGTTGTCAGCATAACTGCGAAATCGATACCAAGCACACACACGCACATATTCTTGTTTTATTTTTCCTATAAACTTGTCGTAAGTACTCGGCTATTCCAAAAACGTTTCTTTGGTATGTACTTATCAGTATATAAGAGTAGCATATACATACCTTGATTTACGAAGTATACGAACGTACCTTCTATAGACCTTCTCAACCAACCCCTAACTTTTTTCACTGTATATACGTATACACATAATCCTAAATGTTTGTTTTATTTATGAAATCGTTTTTACGCAATATTCGACCATTTTATATATATGTCATACTTTACCAAAACGAATATTTTTATGGTTTTAGATCGTACCATCCGACTCACCCCCTTCCCTATGTCTACGTGACGTTTTTTGGGTTGATACAAAACTTACGTTAATGTACTATATATAACTTCAAAAAATTTCATGTGTTTTATACAAAAGAAGAATTATTGTTAGTAACAAAATTATTTGTTCAATTTTAATTTCGGTTTAATTACAATAAAATTAATGAAGAAATAAAGAAATTTATTTTAAAAATAAGAATGAGACAAAAAGGATTCTTAATTATTATTTATAAATAAATTTTATTTCGTATCACTTGAAACATTATTTTCAACTACAATAATAAACCCCATAATTTTATAATAATTGTCATTAAATTGATAATTTAAGAAGAAAAACAAAAAAATTGTTTCATCCCCTAGCGCAAACTCCGAACGGGCGTTTCTCGTCACAAGGGTGCAGCACAGTGCAGACCAATAAATAGCCAAGACGAAAAGTACTTTTCACTCGTGAAAATTTCTCTCTCCCTCTCCTCACTCTTTTGCTCTCTTTTTCCCCTTCATTTTTTTCATTCCCTTTTTTTTCCGTCACACTCTGGTCCTTTCCCATTGCCATAGTTGGACGAGATCGTTTCGGGTGACCCTTCTCGGCGCATAGAAAATGCAAAAACGTTACGAACGGACCCTTTTCCTCTCCCTTTTCCTCTCCCTTATATATATATATATATGTGCCTAGAAAAAAGTAGGAAGAGAAAGAGAGAAAGATATAGGGAGAATTTGTATGCTTTTATGTGTGTATGTGTACATTTATACACACGTATATATATGTGTGCGTGTGTGTGCTGACTGACTGACTGTGTGATCGGCGTGGAAGAAGTGGTGGTCGCGGATGGTGGAGTAGTGGGGATAGAACTGGCAACGTGACGGTAGGGTCGGTGGTGGGGATAAACCTGCCGGAGCGGTGCCAGTGTACTCACGGAGCAACAGTGTGCCGCGCGCCGTCGGAAGGTTAACGTTGATCTATTTCTCGTAACAACGTTATTACACGTTCGATAGTATTATTATTTTGTAACACGCGTGTTTATCTATATGTCCGTGCGCTAACAAAAAGTATTACGGTAGTGTGTTAGTGTTTATAATACGTAACTCTTACGGTCAAATAATAAAATAAAAATGAATATTTTTGATCTTGTCAGGATTTAATATTTTGTTTGGTTTTGGTGTGTTTCTTTTTTTCGTTTCAACATTTTGTTAATATATATATATATTTTTTTTTTTGTTGCTGTATTATTTTATTTCTACGTGAGAAAACAGTGCATGGATGTGTGTGACAAGAAGATATCGTCGAAAAGGATTAAAGAAGTTTGGTTTACTTGTTCATTTTTTTTTTTTATCTATTTCAAGTGATACGTGAAAATTAGTGATAAAAATGTTTACGAAACGTTTCAAAAAAGAAGATATGAATTTGGAAGAAATTGTTTGAAACTTTTAGTGAGATGATTATGGTGATACTTTCGAAGAAGCTTTTTACACGTTTTTGTTAAAGGATCATTGAAGTATGTAAGACGAATCCTTTCAGATTCGTCTACTTCTTGTGTTACTTTAAATAAAAATAAAGTATTTGATCCTGTCAAGCTCGATAAAGAAGAAGAAAACAGAAGAAAAGTATTTTCCTTGATTTCTTTACTGGCAGCCTACATTGAAAGGAAAAACGTAAGAACAAAAAATATAACAGTGCAACGTTAGTGAAATTCGAAAGAAAATTTTTTGACAAAAAGGATTAGTGACGAGAAAAAAAAAAAAGAAAAAAGAAAAAAGAAGAAAAAAGTTCACCGATCAAAAATTCCAGTTGCATTTTGTTCAACGAGTTATGACGAAAATGTGCTGTTAGCAAATTTGTGACAAGCCGTCGGCTCGACAATTTTTCGGTATGTTTATTTTTTTTATTTAAATAAATTTTTTTTGTTGATATAATTATCATTGTTTATAAATAATAATAATAATAATAAGAGAAGAAACATAGTTAATTTTTAATATTTTTTTAAATTATTTTTTGTCTATCGTTTTTCAACGACGGTAAAATGCGTGGTTTACCACGTGACACTTATACGTTACGTATGCACGCGTGCATACATTTTTACAACGTTTAAATTATTATATTTGTTAAAAACGAGTGTTAACGTAATAGTAGTGGTAATTGAAGCAGGTAAATGGTCCATATAGTTGAAACTAAAAGCTCATTTTAACGGAAATTTAACTTTTCGAAGTGTTTGAATCAGCGGAACGTTGGGTGGATGGGTGTTTTGTGGGTGAGTGGGTGAATTAAATATATATATATATATATATATACAGTGTGTTCAAAGCGAGTAATGTTCGTTTCTTCGTGAGTTAAATGCACTTGCACACGCGTTTTTTAACTTCTCGCACGTGACCTCTTTTCTTTTCTATTTCTTTTCTTTCTTTTTTTTTTTATTTCTATCTGTCCCTTTCTCTTCGTTACACTTTTCCCTTTTTTATTTTACTATAAGTATATATTTTATTTATTTATTTTTTTTTTTATATATACCGCACTTGCAGTTCTTTACCGTTTAAACGAAAAAAGAAAGAAGCGAAATAAAAAAGATGAGATGAGAAGAGAGAAAATTGTTCGTAATGGAAACGACTTTTGTGCTATTTTCTTTTTTCTTTTTTAAAAAACATGAAAGGTTACTTTCTCTCTTGTCGTTTTGAATTTTATAATATTCTTTTTCTTTTTTTTATTATCATTCTTATTATTATTATTATTTTATATTACTCTTTGTACCAAAAAGTAAAAAAAGAAAGAAAGAACATTCGATGATACTTTGGCTATGTTTCTGTGTTCTCGTTTTAAAAAGTTGGTCAAATTTTATACTGAAATGTTTTTAATTTTACTTTTCATTTGATCGCGATACCCTAAAGGTTTTCTTCTTTTTACTTTTTCTTTTTTTTTTTTTTATCGATTTATACTATTGAACATTATATAATATCGGTAGAAACTGAGGGATGAAAGTAAAGGCTATAGGTTTCACGTTTGGGGGAAAAATGGGAAGGAATAGCTTTTTGACCTTTACTCTTTGAAATTTGAACGAATAAAATTGACAAAGGGAAAAGAAGAAGAAGAAGAAGAAGAAGAAGAAGAATCGCGATATTCGTGGCAGGAAGGAAGTGAGAACCCTTTTTTCTAAAAAAGGCTCGTCTTTCGAAAATTTCCTATCTGAATTTTATCTCCCAGAGAAAGCGGAGAAATCATCTTTTCATTCTTACTTCTTTTCCCTTTCCTCAAATTGTAAAAAACCAGCTGATTAATTTAAAAAATAATGTCACCAAAATAAAAGAAAAAAAAAAAAAAAAATGTTTTAATGATAACATTTTTTGTTTCTTTTTTTTACCATGATATTTTCGTTGGAAAAAAAATATTACGAAAAGTTTATTAATTATTTCCAATGTAAAAAAAGTTTCATAAAAATTGTTAAAATATTTCCTCTACATATTTTAATTCGACGATTATTCATCAGTTAATAATCATTCTCAATACGTTTGATTATTATTTATTATCAAATCAATCTGTGTCCATTGATGATACTGTCGTGTAATCTGTGAATATTTGAATTTTATTAAAAAAAAAAGAAACAAAAAAGAATTAACAGAAAAAAAAAAATATATATATATATATGTAACGATTGTGTGTTTAAGTATTCTCTTTGATGTGTGTTAATTTACGACTGCAGTACGTAAAACATTTCGTGTTCGATTACACGTATCGAATATTTGTTAACGAATAGGAATTTTGCATCCGCATATGCGGTAAATCTCTCGTATATCAAATATTCGTATTACATGACACAACACAACACAACTCATGTGCAAAATCAAAGTAAAGTATATAATATTACTTTTCGTTAGGTTTTTTTTTAAGTATTTTTATTTCTCAATAGTAAAAAAAGAAATAAAATAAAATAAAATAAAATAAAATAGGTAGATTCGTTTAATCTTCTTAGATATTGTATAAAAACAAAATCGATTTGATATTTATATATATTTAATCGCCAAAACACATAATATACCATTTTTATAGAGCAATTAATTTTCTAGAAAAATTTGTATTGCGCATTTTATAATAATCATTTATTGTCGAGTTATAAAATTCATTAAAAAAAAAAAAATGAAATTTGTCTTAAAATCATCAAACTTAAATTTTCAATATCATTTAAATAATAAGGTTTACGGAAAAAATATAAGATACCTTCTTTGTAGAGCATTAAATTTCCTACAAAATTCGTCTAGAACATTTTTCTGTACAGTTAATAAATAATGAGATATGAATTTTAATCTATTGGACTGAAAAAAAAAATAATAAAAAACTGCGATGCGGAGAATCTTCCTATTAAAATTAAGAGCTCATATTTGGTGAGAATTTTGTTAAGATGTCTAGCAACCCATTTTTCCGTGGCACTTGTAAAAAAAAAAATAATTAATTTTTTCGACCCACCCTAATATATATATATATATTTTGTAAGTAAAGTTTCATGTACTTTCTTAAAGAGCAACGTATTACGTACAAAGCAACTTATTTCTTTTTAAAATAGTACGACAACTTTGTATTATTAAAAGGTAAAAGAAGATAGCATCATTCTTAACTTTCAAATGGACTTTGAAATATTCTTTGAGAATGGCTCAACTAACTAGCAGCACTGAAAAAAAAAAAAAAATTGTAAAAAAAGAACCTAGGAATGATCGGTCATTTTGTTTCTTCTTTTACTGTAAAGTTCGAATTTTGTTCCATATATTCAAAAAATATTCTCATTCTGTCTCTCTTTATCTCTTTGCTATTCTTTTTATTTTGGATATTTAATATTTTATTTTAATTTAATTTTTATTTCATTTTATCCTAAAAATGAGCAATTTTAACCTCAAAACTCGCCATAGGTTGATTTTAGCGACACACAGCGGATGTTCATTTTCAAAATGGAACTCCACAGTTAATTCGTTAAGAAAATTGAAAAAATAAAAGTATTGAGAAAATTTACAGGATACAAAATATTTTTTATAATAATATTATTATATTTTTAATAATATATATATAGAAAAATTATTTTACTTATGTAATACTTTTGATCAAAATAATCTCATAAAAACTAAATATCCAAAAGTGAAAAAAATAAAAAAAAAAACATATCCAACTAGACAAAAGGTGTATATGTGTGAGAAGTGTGAATGTGAGTGTATGCGAGGTGTAGTTAGAGGGTCGATCGAATTCGCGCGACTTCCAAGAACCATTTTTTTTTTCTTTTCTTTTTATTTTTTTTCTTCTTTTTACTTCTCCTTTTTATACTTGCGGGTAAACGTAATGCGATATCTCGACGTTACGGATCCAATTCCGTGGCGGATACCGAAAAGGGGGTTGCTATGAAAAAAAGAAAGAAAGAAAGAAAGAAAGAAATGGAGAATGAAAACAGGGAAGAAAAAGAAAGAGAAAGAGAAAGAGATTGCAGCTAACGGAAGGTGGAAAAGAAGAAATAAAAAATAAAAAAATAAAAAAAACTTAGTAGAACTGGCAAAGCAAATAAATTGAAGTTCCTCGCGGAGATTAAGAGAAGGTAGAACACAATCCTCCAAGCGGAAGCTTGCGTAACACGATACGAAAAACACCATCGAAATCATCACCTATATTTCTCTTTTACAAAACTTATACTCTTCTCACTTTTTCTATCTTATTCGTTTTTTCTTTTTCTCAGGTTTAATTTCTCAATGAAATCGAAAATCAAACTCCACACCTCCTCTCACACTCACCCCCACCCCCTCATAGAAATCACATTTTTAACAATGTTTGTTGAATTAATAGAATATAGAAAAGTAATTTGTTTTATCAATTATTCTGTTATCTGTAATCCTTTGAGTTCTATAGACGTATATATACGTTTGATAAAAATTACTAACCTTATCGTTCGAAGCATATACGTGTTTGTTAATATTTAGGTAAAGTAATTTAACATTTATATTAATGAATTAAATTATATTGAAAAATAAAAAATTTAATTATTAAATAATAATTTATTCCATTCTTATAAAACATTTTAGATAAAAGTATTCACAACTCAAAAGATACATTTTATATAATTGTTTATTACATTATTTGTTCATGTAGACTTTTCTTTTCTATTCTAAACTGTTTTATTCGATTTATATTATTATGATTTTGAATGATTAATTTTTGTTCATTTTAATATTTCAATGAATATACACACATTTCATTTCATTTTCGATGTAATTAAACGTGAAACTGTAAATGTATAAGATATTTAAGTTTAATTAATGCAATGAAATAGATAGAATATAAAATACGTAATGTTATATTTTTCCTTTTTCTTTGTTTTTAGTTTTAAACTAGTCGTACTCTTTGTTTCGATTTTTTTTTTTCTTTACCTTTTTTTTTCTATCATCTTCTTATTCTTTTCTATATGTTTTGTTATTGAATGACATAGAAAATGTAAACACAGTGTTCTAGGAATAATAAAACTGTTCTAATACTTAAGCTACTACGACTGTTTATTAGAAATATATATATATATTTATATATATAGCGTTCAAAAGATATTCATCATGAAACTTTCATGTGTACTGATTTCTGTCTCTGAATATCTTTTGAACGGTTAATTTAATCGCCAAAACATAAGACACATTTTTTATAGAACAGTTAATTTCCTACAAAAATTTGTATTGCACATTTTATAATAGTCATTTATTGTCGAGTTATAAAATTCATAAAAAAAAAAATGAAATTTGTCTTAAAATCATCAAACTTAAATTTTCAATATGATTTAAATGATAAGGTTTACGGACAAAATATAAGATACCTTTTTTGTAGAGCATTAAATTTCCTACAAAATTCGTCTAGAACATTTTTCTG